GCCGATCTTGGGGAAGACGATCACCTGATCCATCATCCCCTTGACGTAGCGCAGCAGCCGTTACACCGTGGCCCAATGATTCTCTCGGGGATCCTCCATGAAGCGGCTGACATAGCCCACGGCCAACGCAATATCCGGGCTCGTGTGCACTAGGTAGCGCAAACCGTCGATGATGCTTCGGTAGAGTGTTGCATCTACCTTCACCGCAGTATTGGCCTTCGTTAGCTTCAACCGCTCCTCCATCGGAGTCATGCACGACTTGCACTCAGCCATGCCGCTCCGCTACAACAGCTTCGAGGCATACGTGCTCTGACCGAGTGTGAGCGTCTCCTTTCCCTATCTCACCTCGATGCCGAGGTAGTAGGAGAGCGCACCAAGATCGCTCATTCGAAAACGAGCTGCCATCTCTCGCTTGAAGCTGTCGATGTTCTCCGCACGCGCACCGGTGACGATCAAGTCATCCACATACACGCCGATGACTAGCTCCTTCGTCCCCCATCGCCGCGTGTAGAGCGTGTGCTCAGTTGCGCACCGCGTGAACCCAAGCTTGCCCAGCGTGGCGTCAAGCTTGGCGTTCCACACTCGCGGGGCCTGCCATAGCCCATAGAGCGCCTTGCGCAGTCGGAGCACCCTATGCTCCTCTCCCTTGACGGCGAAACCTGGAGCTTGCCTAACGAAGACCGTCTTCGCCAGCTCGCCATTGAGGAAGGCCAATTTTATGTCCAGGTGATGGACGCGCCAGTCCTTCGCTACTGCCAAAGCCAGCAGCAGTCGGATAGACTCCATGCGCGCTACCGGTGCAAAGACTTCCTCGAAGTCGATGCCCTCATGCTGGACAAAGCCTCGGGCGACGAGGCGCGCCTTGTGCTTGATAATGGTGTCGCGCTCGTTTCGCTTGACCTTGTACACCCACTTCAGGCTGATCGGACAACATCCTAGAGGTGGATCGATGAGCTCCCAAGTCTCGTTTTCCTCAATCGCCTTCATCTCCTCTAGCATCGCCCGTCACCAATTTGCATCATGCTCGGTCAGCGCGAACGTGGGTGGTTCCTCTGCACTGGCGAGAAGTAGCTCTGGGTCATTGAGAAGCCGACCCTCCAGCCCTAAGGACCCTGTTCCGCAGGCTAGACGTTTTCATCCAGCCTGTGGAACCGCACCTCCTCACTGTCGTGGAAGGCATCCATGAACTCGGTGATGTCACTTTGAGGTGAGGCAAACTCGATCGGCGTCGATGGAGTCCCCTGTTCCGCCGGAGTGGTCCGCACAGCACCTGGAGTGCTCGACACCCCGGCTATAGTGCTTGGCACTACTTCTGCACTGCTCGTCACCAATCCTAGAGTAGTTGGCACCACTGCAGGAGTGCTCGGCGCCAGTCTTGGAGTGGTCGGCACCACTGCAAGACCTCTTGGCTCCGCTACGGGAGCGTTCGGCGCCCGTCCTAGAGTGGTCGGCACCACTGTAGGACCGCTCGGCACCACTCTTAGAGTACTAGGCACCCTTTCTGGAGTGCTCGGCACCACCCCAGGAGTGCTCGGCTCTATTGCTGGAATGGTTGGCACCTCCTCTCCAGCGTCTCCACCACCATGGATGACCAAGTGCTCGACGATGAAGGTACTGATGAAGCCACCAGCTTCCCCCATGCTCGGACTGTCCTACTCCTAGACCATCTTCTCGTCGAACAAGATGTCGCGCAAGACAACCACCTTGCCTCCACGTGGGTTGTAGAGCCGGTACGCCTTGGTACCTTCCTCGTAGCCTAGGAGCACCATCGGTGTTCTCATGTCCTCTAGCTTGGTGAGGACTGGCTTTGTCTTTCTGAAGTGGCCGATGCAGCCGAATGTTCGGAGGAATGACATGCTCGGCTTGCGCCCATACCAAGCTTCAAACGGCGTCACGCCCTTCAGGGCCTTTGTGGGCGCACGGTTGAGGATGGACACCGCCGTGGTCACCGCCTCTCCCCAGAACTTTGCTGGCATGCTTTTGCATCATGGATCGAGCCATGCTGACCATCGTCTAGTTCTACCGCTCCACCACGCCATTCTACTGTGGTGAGTACGGCGTGGTGTGGTGTCGCACCACACCTTGATCCGCGCAGTACACAGCAAACTCCACCGAAGTAAATTCACCGCCACGATCAGTCCGCAGCACGCACAGCTTCTTGTCGCTCTCCGCCTCCGCGCGCGCCTTGAACTTCTTGATTGCCTTCGCTGCCTCATCCTTGCTCATCAGGAGTTGCAGCCACATATAGCGACTGCAATCATCCATGAGCAGGAGGAAGTATCGCCAACCACCATTTGTGGCTGGCGTGATTGGCCCACAGAGATCGCCGTGGACGAGCTCGAGAGCATCCGCCGCGCGATACTTGGCCGCCTTTGGGAACGACAGCATCCTCTGCTTCCTGGGAAAGCAGTTGTCACACAGCTCGCTTGCGTGCTTGATGTGGGACAGCCCTCGGACCATCTTCTCCAGCCGACCGAGCGCGTCAAAGCTGAGATGGCTGAACCGGGCATGCCATAGCCACGGCTCCTTCGTGTGTTGTGCAACCAAGCAAATGGGCTGGCTCTACCTTCAAGTCAAGCAGGTACAGTCGGTTCTGGGACCTCTTCACCTTGGCAAGAAGGCGCTGCTCCCGGTCCCTGATCCTAAGGATGCCATCCTTGATTAGTACCTCGCTGCCGCGCTCATCCAGCTGGCCAATGCTGATAATGCTTGAACGTAGCTGCGGGATGTAATATACATCCGTTAGCGCACGGTGCTCGCCATTCTGACGGCTAAAGATGATGGTGCCGCGCCCTCAGATCGCCACCCTTGAGCCGTCATTGAACTTCACCGTGTCGGTCACGTTGCCATCGAGCTCAGAGAAGGCTTACTTGGAGCCCGTCATGTGGTTGCTGGCGCCAGAGTCTAGGTACCGCCGCTGCTCTTGCTCGTCACCCACACGTCCGAGGTGGACTTGGGCACGCGGTTCGTCGAGGTTGACAGCCTTCAGAGCCTTAAGCGTTGTCGGCTCTGCTGTTGGAGGGGTTCGCTCCGTAGTTGGAGTGCTCGGCACCTCCTCTAGAGTGGTCGGCTCCACACTTGGAGTGCTCAGCACCCCCTCTAGAGTGGTCAGCTCTGCTGCTGAGGTGCTCGGCACCCCCTCTGTAGCCTTCAGAGCCTTCTCGTGCCCTTCCACCGCTATCACCTCTCCCTTCTCCTTGGCCTCAACGTTGTGCAGAGCACAGAACGTCGTCATCAGAAGAGTGGCTTCATCATCATCATCTGCCTACGCCAGATGAGCCTCAACCTTCTTCTTCTGCTTGCGATTTGGGGACTCCTTTGCCCAATGGCCTGTCTTCCCGTAGTGTCGGCAGGCGTTGGGGTCGACCTTCTTCTTCTTCTTCTTCTCCGAAGAAGCCTTGCCGCGGCGCTTGCCATCGCCACCGCGGCTAGAGGAAGCTTCCCCGGACTTCTTCACCTTCATCCGAGCAGCCCACTCCTCTGTCAGCAGCAGCTTGCCGCTATCCATCGTTGTTGTCGCCTGCTCCAGGCGCTCGTCCACCGCCCGCAGATGGCCTATCACATTCTCAATGGTGAGGGTGGACAAGTACAACATCGTCTCTATGGAGAGAGCGATCTGGATGTACTTCGCCGGCACGGAGTAGAGGTACTTGGAGACCGCCTCTTTTTCGTCGATGGTGACATCGTGGCTCCTCAGCTTGCTGATGAGCGATTGCAGGCAGAGGGAGAAGTCCTCCACCAACTCACCATCCTTGAACTTAAGGTTGGCGTACTCCTACTTCAGCAGCTAGGCCGTCGCCTTCTTTGCATGGTCGGAGCCAACACGCATCGCTGCAATGGCCTCCCATGCCTCCTTAGCAGAGTTCTTCGCCCCAAACGGCTCCTTGTACTTCGCCGGCACATCAGCGAGGATAACCTCCAATGCTGACATGTCGTCTTCTTCGTTGTCTGTGCCCTTGTCAATGGCATTCCAGAGCTATCGGACTCTGAGCTTGACCTTCATGGTCACCGCCCACTCGCCATAGTTGGTGCAAGTCAGCGTCGGCCACCTGGTGTCGCTGACCTCCCGTGCCGTGCGCACAATGACCTCCTATCGTGGTTGGGCAGCCACAGCAACGCCGCTGCTGTCGCCCATCTCCAAACCGTCCGTCATCGTCAGCGGTTAGTCCAGCGACGGCGCTTGTACGACTCCGATACCACTTGTTGGTCCCTCGCTGCCCTGCACAGGTAAGCAGTAAGCTTACCAGCACACTCACTCACTATGGCTAGAGGTAGAAGAAGATATTAAGAACAGCTCACACACACACCGCACAAGCCCAGCGTTGGCCGAAAGCTCTGTTTCTGGATGTGGCAAACTGAACTGCCTTTACTGAGTTGCAGTGAGAAGCTATATATACAACTCTACCCATCTAATCCTAGTACACAGACATGCCAGACTGCCATGCTGCTACAGTGACTAGATGTGACAGCAGGACTGACTTTGGCGCCTGCCCCTGCTGTGGCTACAGCGTGGTAGGGGAGCCTTTCGGCGCCTGCCCTTGCAACGGCTGCAGTGCAGCAGCTGGGGAGCCCTTTCGACGGCTGTCCCTGCCGCGCGTAAAGAGAGAGAGCAGCAGATTACTTTACAGGGAGTACTAACTATTAGATGGAGAATCCAAACGGGGCTCAATTAATAGGTTAACTACTAATCCTGCTAATAAAAAGGTTAACTACTAGTCCTGCTAATAAAAAGCTACTAGCTGCCTTCCCTCTGCTAGCTGCTAACTATTGGCACCAATGGATCAAAAAAAAGGGCCCAAGCCCCAAACTGATCTGCTGCTGTGATATTTTCAGATTTGTTCTTTGATTTGATCCAGTTATGGTTCTTTTGTGCGTCTAGGACATTAGAGCTTTAGAGTGTTGATATATTTGTGCAAGTTTTAGTTCATAGAATGCAATTCTTTTTGCCCATTTTGTCTCTGCAAGGCCTGCATAAAAAACCAACTCCTTGTTTCAGTGAGGAAGAAGCTAGGCAAAAGATATATATCGACCCGTCATTACTTCGCTTTTGGTGCCCTTGTACCTGAGGAACTTTCTTACAGACTGAAAGGTATTTATGATCTCATTAAGTACTATAACAGTAAGAAGTAATTCATTGTTGAATACCATAAATGTTTGTCCTTGGAGTCTAATGCCTCTTAATCATTTGCAGAGGTGCCCAAGATCCGCTGGGTTCTTCCTGATTCATACTTGCATGTGAAAACTAAGGACTATGGAGGTACTGATAACATATTTCCTATCCAAGTATATGCATGGATAGCCTTAATGAATTAACCGACTTATTTTACTTATTAAAATACAATTGAAATTGAAATACAAAATAAAAAAAACAGACCTGTTAGCATTCTAAGGTCAAAAGTATATATTTGCATTTTCAGGGTCATGTACAAAAATCCTTTTCATTATTCTCGAATTGCCTTTTTCACATTCTCTTTGTTGTTTGTTGACACTGTTATGTCTTTCTTGCTTGTCGTACGCAATGTACAACATCTGAATTTTAAACTTGAGTAATTTAAATCTTCATTATTTTATATCATATGTGAATGTCTTAAGTTATTTGCTAGTGTCCAAACAACTGGTCTATGAAATTTTGCTCCTCTACTTAATTGACTCGCCTATTTTTTCTGCCCTTGTTCCTCTAGTTTTCTTCTCTAGGCTTGTGATGTAAGGATATCACTGTCCTCAGGGTAACGTATTATGAAGTGCTTTGTCAAATCATCTAAGGCGATATAATGTTAATATTCTTTGCATCTCGTATGTGTTCTTTGTGTCGTCTCGAAAAACACCAATACAGGTTTAAGAACCTCTAACTTGTGATAGCAGTTCACCTGACATGACAGTATGACACGCCATTTGTTCGATCAACTATGCATGTATGTCTTTACAAGCTATTTCAGATTTTTATTTTAATTGAATTGAACTGAAATGTGGGTGACCATAGTTTATGTCCACCCATGTTTGGACAACTGATTATCCAGAAGTTTTTGATACCTTCAATTTCCTGTTTCAGGAGAACCCTTCATAAATGGGGACGCTCTTCCTTATGATCCTAAATACCATGAGGAGTGGGTGAGAAACAATGCCCGTGCCAATGAAAGAATCCGGCGCAATGATAGGCCCCCGAACGACAGGTCAAGGAACTTTGAGAGAAGGGAGAACATGCAGAACTACCAGAACAGGTCAACGAACTTTGAGAGAAGGGAGAACATGCAGAAGTACCAGAACAGAGATGGGCCTCCTGCTCAGGGTTTCAATGGCCCCCCACCTCCACCTGGCCAGAACCAGATGCCACCTCACCATGGTCAGGGCAACATGCCTCCGTCGCCACCACCACCGCATGCTGGTGGTGACCAACCAAACTATCAGCCCCAAATGCCAAACCCACAGGCTGGCTACTACCAGCAAGCTGGTGCTCCTCACTACCAGCAAGGTGGTGCTCCGGGGTATCAAGGTGGTAATCAAGGTTACCAAGGGAACCCAGGGCCGGCCTACCAAGGTGGTAACGCTGGCTACCAAGGTGGCCCACCTGGCTATCAAGGAGGCAACCCCAACGCACCGCCATACCCGGGTGGTGGCAATTCTAGCTACCAAGGTCAATGAGGCAACTCAACTACCAATGAGCATGACCACGAGTGCATAATTGAGATGTTAGGTCGTCGGATAAATGAATGGTTGGTTAGCCTCCACCTTACAGGCCATTCTGCTCGCCATGTGGCCCACATGTACATTTTCGCATGCATGTGTTATAATCTGCCATAATCCATTATTTCGTTTTATAATTTTTTGTTTATATTTTTTATAAACCGAAACCATCCCCGAAAATACACGAGGACGTGCACGGATCCGTGCATGCGGTTTGTGTCTGTCCATCGTCGTCATCTACGTCTACTGACCAGAACCATCACTGCCTCGCACAACACGAGAGCGGCTGAGGATAATAAATCCGCATCGTAGGGCCATCAGCCTGAGAGGACTGCGAGATCGAATTAGCCAGCCTCCTGATTCCTGACGGGAAGTGACAGCCCAAGCCCATGCAATTTAAGATGCTGGTGAGAGGACAGAGGAGGCCCATGCGACGACGGCGAAGGTACTAGCCAGCATTAGGCCAGTCTCAATTGGGTTAGTTTTATGGGAGTTTCATAGTGACGTCTTATTGAAGAAGAGAGATAATAAAAGTTTCATGAAAGTAGAGAGAGTTTTGTAGGAATACGCTAGTACAGTAAAGCTCTCTCTTTTCCAAATAGGCAGACACGTATACACTCACACTCAACTTTATGGGATATGAGCAACTCCGAAAGAGAGATGGTCAGTTTGGTGGAAGATAGGTACATGCTCAAGAAATTGCAAACTAAATCTATGTTCTGGTGAGTCTGAAACGATAGATATCGATTCAGCAATGGCGCGAAGATCTACAATTTAGAACGGTGGGAATAGTTCACAGGTTTACTCTAGTACTGTGGCTGCTGAAGTGCTGATGGCCAAACAAATGGGAGGATCCATTGCCACATCAGCTCCAGGTCGCGCACAAGCTAGTTCAAACTTCAAACTGGTAGGGCCCAAAGGGAAATCGGAGCAAATCCTTCGTTTATCTTTGTTTCATGGAGAGGTTTTCTTCGTACGTTCAAGTAATCAATTTATTTGGCAACTTGAGACACTTACACTGAAGGTACAAACTATAGTCGCCTTACTCCGTCCTCTCCACCTTCACACATCAGGTTGATCGATCTCTAGACAGTAGACAGGGCATGGACATGCATCTCATGAACGAAGTAGTACGAGCAAGCTTGCAGAGTCAACTGCTCTTCTGCTTCGTCACAGGCTCACAGCTGCATCCAGGCTCGCTACTGAGAACCCAGCCTCTGGACATCTACCAGCTGATAGAGATCGCCACGGCGTTGATGTTGCAGAGGAAGAAATTGCCTGGAGAAGATTTGCATGACCCCATTCAACCAAAGGTGAAGATATATAAGACTATACTGGAAGCCTAGAATTTCACTCTGCTTACCTCCTCTGCTCAATCAGTGAATAGTCAATATCTGCTATTACAGTCACCTCCTCATGCTCAGTTGTTGCAATCACCTCTCCAAACTAGCAGTATGCAAATGGTTAGTTATGGTGTGACATATCTTTACTAGCGTACAGCTTTCAGATTGTTGGCAAAAAATCACAAGAGGTTTTATCAGAAACAAAAGTAGCTTTGTGGTGGTGCTGAGTCTTAGTCTGGAAGCTAGATAAGTAGTGGTTACTGGCAGAACTAAAGGGCAGTAAATGGAAATCTCAGGTCAACTTACAGGTCCAACAAGAGTGGAGTGTCCCCAAGCAACATAACCTGCACTGGTATCTCGAGCTGGACCGCATGTTGCAACAAACAGCTGGCACCAAACAGTTGATTAACATTCTAAAGCATAAAACTGGCAAAACAAATGCCAAATGAAAGTTGAAGTCAAGGAAAATGAAACACCAGCACACAAAGAAGCGTAGTATACCTGGTTGTCTGCAGCCCTGGCATTGGAGAAATGATGTCATTAGTACAGGGGAAAGAAAAGTAGTGGAGACATTTCAGATATAAAATTACCTCCCAAGAATTATGAGGAGTTCTGATCGAGGTTTTGACTAGTTTTGAACCTTTTTTAGATATATGCTAACTAGCACAAATAAAAGTAGCGAGCAGTTCATCTTGCTATATTTCCCTTGCATAATTACCATAACTTGAGGTTCAAAGTCATTTATTACCTCGCCCTTTGCAGCAACTCCCAGTGTAGTGGTCCAGTAGTCATGTTGAATGCACCAGGATAGCACAACAAATGAGCACCTGCAGTTAGTGAAATGAGCTTAGTCTGTTTCGTCAGTTTCAATATTTTTCAAATTATCAGAAAATAGTAGTAGTAAGCTGTAAGTATGTGTTCACAATTGTTAGTATAACTGAAAATCTGAAAAAAATAATCAAACAGAAAAGAATCTGAGACTAAGTGTCTATCCATTTTACATGTCGAGTAGGTCAGAAGATGACATGGTCCAAATACGGCACATACTACAGCGTCTTTAAGAAGTATAATACTTTACTTCATCAAGTTACAGCTTAATAGAGACCACTACACTGAAAAACAAACATGAGGAACTCGTACCTCTTGCAGCATACAACATTGCTAATTCCTGGAAACGGATGTCATAGCATATACCAATACCAATGCGCCCGACATCTGAAAAAGAAATCAACAATGCCATTAGAATATAAGCAAGACTTAAGCAACACAAACAAAAGGCATCATAAAACTAAGTAACACTAACATAGTATATAGAAAGCTATAGCTTGAATGTAACTATCCCAGTCATCAAACTCACATTGTAAGACCCAATTCAAATGACCTAAACTCAAAATTAGAGATACATGGATAGCCAAATATTAGGCTTGCAATAAAAAAATGGATGGCCTGATATTCTCTTATCCTACATGCTTCATTAGCTGTAGACAGCAGATTAATTGGACAAACCTGTGTCTACAACAGTAGGGCTCTGCCCAGCAGTAAGAGTCTTTGATTCCTTGAAAGTGATCTTTCCTGGAATGTCAATGTCGAAAAGATGGATCTGCAGGTGCACAAATTTTCATTGTCAGAAAGCACTTGGAATGAACTAAACTTACTACTCATAGAGCACAATGAAAGGAAACGAGGGCATAAATATGACGGGAGCATGCAAATCAGAACCGGAATTTCAGTGTCGTCCACAATGTGATCAGACTTGCTACTCTATTGCTATTGATCACACTCAAAAGTAAAAGAAGGCATAAATGCCACGGACATGATCTAATATGCATCTGTCAGCACTGCTGCATGTTCAGTGCTCATGTTGGAGCTGGACTCATTGAGGTACTGTTGGGAGCTGGTATGATGGGGGATAGGATAGTGCCAACATTAATTTGGTATATACAATTTTCTCATGATAATGTCCACACAGTAAACCATAGCTTCTCATCAAATCTAATTTTAGCAAATAAAAATAGAAAACTGTACTCCAGCTACTAGAAGTTTGAACATACCTTTCTATGTTTACCCTTAAGCTGGCCATCTGAACCAAAGACACAGCATGTATTGTATAAGTTGTTGCCAGAACGTTCAGCTATGGACCCACCAACAAGAGTGATTTGTAAGCTGCGAGCAACCTCCGACATCATTGAAAATGAAGGGGCTGCATCTCCGCCAGCTTCAATGTCCTCGGCGTACTCTGGAAAGCTGTCATTTGAATACGGACCATTCCATATCTCCTACAGGCATCAAAAAAATAGCTACAGGTCAATGCAAGAAGCAACATAAGCAAAGCTAACATTTCTAAAGCATGGCCTTATAAGAGAATATGCATATATGTGCAAATTTACAATGAACAAGGTGAGAAATTTACTATTGACTAAACCTAATGTCGGATACCACAAGAAGGGGTACCCTAAGCAAGAACCGAAAATATTGCTTAAGCCTTGCAAAAATCAAAGCCGAAGGACGACCACGAGGTCTCGGCAGATTCTCCGACTCGCCCAAGGCTTGCGCCGAAGCCTCAGACGAAAGGCCAAAGCCCTCCGTCTCGCCGAGGCCCCCTCGCCGAGGCCCCGCCCCGCAAGGCCTCGGCTGGGATACCAATTCTCCGTTTCGCCCGAGGCTGGGCTCGGCAAACAACCTCGTCACCTCCGTCCCGACCGACTCCCCTGACAAAACGTCACGTCCGGTTACGCGCGCCCGCTTCTCCCATAACGTCACCCGACGTCGGCATCAGACAGCAGAATGACCGACGGGACGGGGGACCGAAATCGCCTCGCCTGTCTTGCCTAACTCCTGCGCCAAGGACAAAGTGGCGTGGAGGGTCAAGTCCGGGTCCCAGTAGTCTCGGAATCAGCATGAAAGACCAACCGCTCGTCCTCCGCCTCGTCCGAGACCCCCCCCAGGCCCCGGACGCATTTTTTTCCTTCTCCGCCTCATCAAGAGACCCCCTCGGCGGGGCCTCGGACGTACTATTCCTTCTCCGCCTCCGCCGAGGCGGGTTTCGCCCGCATCCTCGTCGCCTCCGCCTCAACCGTCCCCTCGGCAAGCCGTCACATCCGTTTAAGTGCGCCGGTCGCACCCACTACGACGACCACGGCCCGACAGTGTGGCAACGAGAAGGGGGCGATGGGACGGTGGTCAAATCTCCTTTTACCATCCCCATCGACGGTGCAGGGGTTACCTGGTGTGGTGGACACGCGCTCCGCACTTCTCACTTTGAGCAGGTGCACGCGCAGACCACCGAGACCCCGCATCATACACGGGTCACCTCCGAGGCCTTGGCAAAGCAGGCCTCGCACGATCACCTAAAGACACCCGCTTGAGCCCTCGGCACTCCACCAAGTCAAGAACACACAAGGCACGGCATGCCTCCTACGGTGGAAGCCATCTCGACTAGCGTCAACAAGGACCCCACGACCTCAACAACCTCGGGCACAGCCAAGACGCAGCGCAAAGTGATCAAGTACCAATTGTCATTCCGGCTTTGTCTTTGCTTTCTGAGGGGATAGAGTACTAGATCTTCCTTCTAAGGTTCCACGTATAGCTCTCTCATGTATTACGGCTTCCTCCTTACTGACTATAAAAGGGGCGAGCACAGGCCATTTCTAAGGAGGAGAAGAAGAACACACGATAGCACACACACATACGCATCCCAAATTACCGAGAGCAACGTCTCAAGCCGCCCACACGACACCTCGCCGAGACACAGGATTAGCTCCCTCTCTCTTGTGCTTGTAACCCCTACTACTAGCACTTTGATTGCAAGGAATACAAGATCGATCTCTCGGATTGGACGTAGGGCATCGATTGCACGAACCAATATAAACCTTGTGTCTCTTTGCATCACCATCCGGGATTAGGGGCACGTGATTCACATTCTTGGTTGGTTGAGGACCCCGGTCCAAAACAAAACGGCAGTTAGCGCGCCGAGTAGAGGATCTGCGTGTCGATTTAAATCATCCCAACAAGTTCCGGATGGCAAACCTCAGACGGCCGTTACGTCTCAACACGGTGATGATCGGTTCGGGGCCTAGAGTTCATGTCTCGGGGCATGAGTGCGACATGGTACTCCTCACGCCCGAACCCCACCAACCAATGACGACATCATGCAACCGATCCAGCGCGGCGGCGCCGGGCGCCGCTTCTCGCCGTGCTTTCGCCGAGCACGACACGAGCAAGACCACCCCAATGCTACTCGAATCGGGGCGGCACGCCGCCCCGCCGACATCCTACGACCGGTTGTTGGCACAGGCTCCTGGGTGGGACCTGTCTAGCCTAAGCATGGATGAAGGAAAACGCCGGTGGCACATGGCGGCCGCCCAGTCACCAAGATCCGCTCCACCACTCCCTCGAAGAGCGGTTCGGCGGCGGTGCAAAGTCGGCGACGGCACCATCCTCATACCCCTTTGGGTTGAGAAATGCCGCCACCTCTTATGCTTACGCCACGCCGCCGCTCCCAAGGATCCCCGAACGCCGCCGCTTGGCGCTTCACTCTCGACACAGGCACCCACGCCGACTCCTCGGAGGAGGGCGAGGCATGGCCCGAGTGGATTTCTCGACTCCACGACCCGGGGCTATGCGCGCCGTTTCTCGCCATAGCGACTCATCGCCCGGCTATCTCGACTCGACAACGAGAGCATGTACGACCCCGCCATGGGAAGGGTCGTACATCATCATAAGCATCGAGGCCGGGACCTACAAGTCGGCCAACGAGAAGGGCGAAGTCTTCACCAACGCTTGGAACATAGAACAGCTACGTCGCTTTTATCCCTAAATTTCCAAGCATTGTATATGTCGTTTCTCGAAATACAATTAAAAAGCGTTCTTTAGTTGGTCTAATATTTCGAGAAACCCCCCGAGCCCATCGTAGGTCTCGGCAATACAGTAACACGACAAGGGAGGCTCGGCTCTGCCTCGGCAGAACCAAGCCTCCCTCGGGGGCTAGATGGGGGACTCCCCCTAGGTCCCACGCACCATTCTTTAGTCGTTTTTCGCAAAAAAATTCCTACGCCTAGACTCTAGCATGCTCTGACGAATCGGTTGTAAAAACCCCTCGGACCAAGGTCTGTTTCCTAAGCAAGAGGCCGGTAGAGTCTCGAGACGGCCTACGCCTCCGGGCCACGGCACTCCCTCACTACCTCTCGCCCAAGGGACGGCTTAGGCCCCAAGGGGGTGTTTTGCAAAACGAAATCTGATCAGGAGCAACAGAGGGCAGAGGCTCGGAAACATGAGAAAAACAACTAAGAAACACAAATACTTCAAAAAGAAAGGCCTCGACGGCCACAAGCGTTACGATACAAAAATAACTCATACTCTATTTTTACATAGCCCCCAGGGCCCAGATCAAGGCTCAGGGCCTCCAGCACCGGCAGATGGTAGGGGAGGAACCACCTCCTCTTCAAAGAGCGTCGCCAGCGCCGTGTTGGGGCCTTCCGCCGCCTCCATCAACCGTGACCGCCCGCGTCACCCTCCTCGTCATCTTCAGCGGGACATACCCATCGCGATGGCCGGAGGTCGACGCCGCGTAGTGAGAAGAGATGATGGCCGGCACAAGGCTTGACACCCGTGTGCGGCGCTCCTCGAGGCCGCTCGCAGATCGGGTTGCTCAACAGCGATCAAAGCGGCTTCCTAGGGAGCTGCTGTGAACCCCTTCAACCTCCAAGGCCTCATGAGAGAAAAGGGCAGCACGTTTCAGCGCCCGTGCTCCCCGATCTCGTTATCGAGCACCCCTCTGCACACCATACTGGAAGCCTCGGTGCCCGAGTAACCTCCGCCTCGACTCGCACCATGGAGAGCAGAGTAAGGTCGAGCGAGGGAAAAACAACCTAAATTAGGAGAGAAGCCCACGGAACTCACCCTTGGCCTTGGCTCCCAGTGTCGGGTCTCAACTGGCAGGCCTCGGCTTTCTCCTTCCAGTAGCAGGCCTCGGCCCCGAAGCCTCGGCCTCCTCCTTCAAGCGCTGGGCCTCGACCCGAGAAGCCTCGGCCGCCCTGGAAGCTTCACTCCCCAGCTCTGCGTCACACAAGGGAGTTAGGGAGCGAACATAAGGAAAAGAAAACAAAATGAGGGGACTAAGACTCACCCTCGACCGTCCCCCTCCAAACCACAACCTCGGTTCGCGAGGCCTCAGCTGCAGCAAGGGCCTCATCCAAGGCACCTTCCGTCAGCTGGTGCGCCCTCTGTTCCGCCCCCAGCTGCCCCTCGAGAGCCGCGGCCGAGGCCGTAGCATCAGTAGCTCGGCCCCTAAAGGCATCCCGATCGCTGACCGCGCGGGTGAGCTCCTCCTCCAACTCCTTGACCCGCGCCGCCAGAGGGGCGAGCTGCGTCTGGGCCGTGGCCGCCTCGACCTCCGCGTCAGCACAACGAAGGCGGAGGTCCTCTACCTCAGCGCTCCGCGCCGACATGAGCTCGTTGGCACCGGCGAGAAGGCCCTCCTGCCACTGAAGCTGGTCCCAGACGCCCCTCTCCCGCCGGAGAAAGACCGACTTCCCAAGGGACCGGGTCTCGAGCTCCTGGGGAAGCAGAACAGGGGTCATTGATTGTAACAAAACCAGAAAAGGACAACTTCACGCGAGAAAGGAAAACGCAAACCTGGGCGACTCCGGGCAGGTCGTCGGCCACCACAGACAGGGCCGTCAGAGCGATCAGCCTCCGCCACGGTGACGGTATTGCTCGAAGATGCCCAGCCCGCCCGCCCTCATTGCGTCCTCGAGGGCGTAACAGAGGCTCCCCCTCGGGGGTCGCCCCGGCTCGCCACGAGACCGCGGATGATCCCACCATGAGGCTCGGTCGCGCACCAAGCACGAGGGCCGAGTTTCCCTCGTCCAAGATCGGGCGCCGGTTGTCCCACCAAGACCGCAAGCATCCTTGGCGTCGACCACCTCCCCGCGCCCGAGAAGTATCGTCGAGGAGGTCGGATAGACCTCTGTCTCCTGGCGCGCTCTCTCGCAACAACGGCGGCCCTCGAAGCAAGGCGCCACCAAGGCCTCCGCCGCCTTCACCGCCGCCTCCTAGGCAGACGGCCTCGCCGCCATCACGACGGCCTTGGTGGTCTCGGGGGCTCTGGCCTCCGCCATCGTGGCCTCGGAGGACGCAGAAACATTGACCGCAGCCACTGCGGCCTCGGCAATCTTGGACGCCCTGGCCTCCGTCGCCTCAGCCTCGGAGACCCCGGGGGCCTCGGCAACTAAGGACACGCCGGCCCCATCCGACTCGTGAGCCTCGCCCTCACGGG